CGCCGGCTCTCTACCGTTTTCTTTATCGACAGCGAAACAAACGAAACTATTCCATTCCATTTCCGAAATGTTTTTCACTTTTTTAGCGAGGAAAACTCTTTGAGTAAAACTTTTCTCGTTGAACGTGTGCGAAGCGGCGCTGCAAGCTGCAATAAAAGGCGGGAATATTGGCGCCAAACTCACACACCTCTGTGGCTTCTGATTGAACGTATCATTTTTCTCACACGTGAAAAAACATCGTTCGCGATTCTGATTGGACGTATCATTTTTTTCACGTGCGAAAACCATCGTTCGCTCCTCTGATTGGCGAGAACTAATCTGCGTACGAAAATTTGCGACATAGCTTTTTGGTGAGTATTTCTCAGTATGTATATAATAAAAGAAGTAAAGATTTATATTCCCAACCTACTGGTGACATTTTTGACCATCCTTCAAGATTGCGTTAAACTTCTGTCACAATTATCAGCTCCAGGTAATGCTCAAATATCGCCCGATCGAGGAGTTGGAAAAGGGGTGGGGGGTGGAAGGGAGAATAGATTTTATTATTTAGAATTTTAGACTGAAGATGACATTTATCTTTAGAGAAGTGACGACCGGAAATACGTCTCACGGTGTCCACAGGCTAGTTGAACACGCTACTTCCCTCCTTAGTACCCTGGAACCAAGCTCCGCATTGGGGAAAAAAGCAAAAAAACAAAAAAAAACGGGGTAAAACAGCAAAAAAATCTGCGAGCGCCCTCACCAATCTTTTCGCCTTTTCCTCCTCTGCTGAGCCTGATTACAGTTAGATATGCCCATAACAGCTTTTTGTCCGTTTACTGAATATACGTTTTATGACATTTTTCGAGAAAGTGGACTTGCTTCGTTTACCTTCTTGTCTGCAAAACACGGCATTGTTGTGTAGATAGGTGAACGTTTGATGGAGGTGAAATACAAACATGAATAATTAGAGATTGACTGTTTTTGAGACAGGCCAGGTCTACGGGGTGACCGCTCCGCTTAATGGAGGTGACTGCTTTGATGTGATACATGACCAAAGGCTGAGAGCACGTTGGTAGCGAAGAAAAATGCGGAATTTGCGATAAAATACTGATGATTTATTTTTACTGTAAAGCGTGTCCTGCGGCTGATGATGTATCATACTCGGTATCATGCTCAGACTTTTCACAGTTCTTCCGGCATTTGTTTAATGAAGCTTGTAACTGGCCTCGCGTTTCGTCTGTTTTGCTTGAAAAATAGAGTGCCGATTATCATGGCTGTATCAAACTGTGCTGGTCATTTCTTGTTGACCTTGAATTGAATAATTTAATTCAGGTACAGTAGACTCCCGATAACTCGAAACTTCAAAGGAAATCGAAAAAAGTTCGAGTTATGGGGAGATCGAAGTAAACGACTAGAAATAAGGAAAAGGCATTGGGAGTAATGCAAATATCATGCGCACTTGACTTCAAGGGCAACAAGATATATATTGCTATTTCAGTGAAAAAGGAATTAAAGGAATTGATCAATTGGTACATGGCTAAATATTGTATTTAATTGGACTGACAAAAACCTAAGGACAAAGAATGCACAGTTGTTTTGAAAAAATTCACCTGCAGCTCACTGCTTTTTTTCGACTTATCACGTGCTTAAAACAATGTTCGAGTTATCGAGGATAAAATTACATAGAAATGATCTGAAGGGAAATAAGAATTACTTCGAGTTAGCGGAAGGTTCGAGTTATCGAGGGTAAAATTATAGTGATTGTATGAAGGAAATCCAGGGGAAGTCGATTTTGGTTCGAGTTAGCCCGAGGTTTGAGTTAGCGAAGGTTCGAGTTATCGGGAGTCGACTGCAATTAATAAAAGGGCATTTTAAAATCAATTATCTCTTAAGAGGATGTTATTAAGTCACGCCTTTTCTCTAAATCTGCTTGCTTATATTTGTCAAAGGAAACGTTGCCCATTAACGTAAGCACGAGGGCTGGTTAAAGGGGGCGCTAATTCGAGTATTTCCGGTAACTTTCAGACCCTGTGGTACCGCCCTTAAACCATATTGGTATGTGCTGCTCCATGGGGTATAATTTTTGCGCCTTTTTGGTCTAAAAACGGGTATAGACTTGACCCATGCTGATCTGGAATCGGGTATGGTTTTCGAGGGAACTACGGGAATGTATGAACGTATTTGTCGTTTCAATTCCAAATAAATAAGAAATAAAGAGTACTTTAATTGCGAATTCCCAAAAAATGTTTACTAAATCTTTTTGTTGGCGTTCTAATCTAGGTAATGGTGACTAATTTCTCTCTATCTAAACATAAGGCTAGGTCTGAAAAGGGTTATTAAATTTTAGAGGCTAAGTCTGGGTGTGAAAAATGACATCTTTAATTTTGGTCTGAAAGAGGGTCCGGATTTGGAGAGCGGGTCGGCACACCCTATCACAAATTCCTAGGAGTACAACTACGAGTAGAATAATCTTGCAATAAACATCTGAGATCCTGGGTTTTGTAAATTGTTTGCTTATGAAGTCACCTGTTCAGCGCAACTCTTTTAAAAACTGTTTGCTGCTTGTAAGGACAATCTTAAAGCAAGGGGCATTCATACGGCCACAAGGAACATTTTCTGATCATGTTCGCAAAAGATTTTGTTGTCACAAAACCCAACATTTTTCTGCCTGCTATCTGATGTGTGCTGATAGATCGCCATAACGGAAGCACGTCAGCAACTTAAATGCAGAATTTTGTGAGAGATCACCAAGAATTAACAGTCGCAAGATTATAACCAATTATTAACTCTAACGTCATGTCATGTCACTGCGAAAAATAACATGGTCTGGGAATAAAACAACTAAAATTGCGGAATTTTTATACATATAGTTTTTGCATACGTGGTCGCCTGGTTAAAGCCAGTTTGCTTGTTTGTTGCTTTCAAGTACTTCCTCTCAAAAAGAACATTTTCCGTGCTATATTTAACTGGTTTTTCTGTGGTCTTAAAACCCGGCATATTTGTGCTTGCTCTCTAATGAGTCGAATTTATGCGGATGGATGGCCAAAGATCGCTTGTACATCCATTTTGAAATTACTGGAGACCATTGCAATCTAATTGGCTCTCAGTGGTGTCTTTTATTTAGTAAACCACAGTATTTTTTTTTTGCTCTAAATCACATTCATGTTTTAAATTGCATAATTTCTGTTCTAAATGGCACCATTGTTTCGCATACAAAATGAGATGAAACTGAGCTTTTCCGATTCCACTTTTTTTAACAATCATCAACAAACCAGCTACCGGATCAACAGAATATTGTTACTGACTGATTTTTGAAATTTCATGTGGCTGTAATAAGGTAGTAATGGCACTTAGTATCGTGCAGTTTTTGTCCGAAATGATACTTAGAATTTCAACTCGTGCTTCCAGCTCGTCCGATTTTTAAAGTCACGTGTATGAATTCATACCAAATTGCAGTTTACTCAGTTCAATTACCTTTATAAAAAACTCATGATTTAAGTTAACAGCGGGAGTTTCTTGCGCCCGATGTTGTTTCATACTCGGCATCATTAACAGACATAAATTGACATAAACTGCAAAGGAACGCAAACAAATATGCCGCAGAACGTAGCGAGATCTACAGAGGACCTGGTCAGCAAAAATATACAAAGTACACATTGAGATCTGTAAAGCTGATCGTACTACGTGAAAATTAACTTTGCACCGGACATCAACACGACTCAAAACATCTGAGCGGGGCTGTAGCCGTAGACAGTTGTTTCGCTATTATTTCACGAAGTATATACGATTAGCTTTGCAGAATTCAATGTATCACCATCAGATTTTTTCAAAATTGTTCCGTTTTCACTTATTTTTATTTAATGAAAGAAGTATTAGAACTGGACGCGCGTGTCGCCTTATTAGTTTTAATTAACACTAGTTACAAGTGGTCACAATTTATATAATATTTTTCTTGTCTACGTTATCTTAAATTTGTACATAATATATAGTATTACTTTATTCTAATTACCATTTTCATTTATTTTCTATTTGTTTTGCTTTTCCTTCGGAGATGTTAGCACTATAAGTTCATGCTATCTTTTGAAACTTGAAGTGAAATAAAGTTTTTGACTGATTGATTGATTGTCTGATTCGCTTATGAGATAGAGAGGCAATTATCATGAATAAATCAAACTGTATTGATGATTTCCCGTTGACATTGAATTGTACAATTTTAAATCAATTATCCTACGCATAAACTTCAATTTCTCTATTAATAAAGAGGGGATTATTGAATCACGCCTATCCTGAATGTCAAGGGGGATGTGGGACCTGTTCCAGGCGCTAAGATGTGCGAAAGGCAGGAAAAACAGGAAGTGTGAAGTACGTGGTTCAACATGATCATCAACCAGGGCTGGAAACCTCTCTTTCTCAAGGTTTAGGATAATATAAGTGCTTAATCAGATCACTTCTGCCTCTAAAATACTTGTAGATTTTTGGTGATGACTGATAAACAAACTTACTGCCGCCAGCCTGCTCTGAGTCAGATCCGCTTATCTTATTAACCTCATAGACCTTCTTTGACCACGCCTACTGAAGAAAAGTTCCGCTTTCTATGGAATAAAAGTACGGAATTGATGCTACAAAAGGACAGTTGGTCGTGGAGCTCTCCGCAGGGACGATAAGTACTTGCAATCACGTCTTGTAATTAAGGTAAGTAGTTGTTGTTTGCGAGTTTTGTTTTTGATAGCTAGAAACTAATTTTATAGTAAATCAGCCTTTGAAACCACATCTTGATGCAGTTATTTCTTATTTAGTATAATTAACAACTAGCTGAAAGGAGAAAGGATTAGCATGGTAGGTTAGTGCCGGGCCTTCTTTGAGGGTTGTTCTGAGTTCAATTCCCAGATGAGACGTCACATCAGTACTTCGAGTTCTTTCCTTTCTTTTTGGCTTTAAGTAGCTTTAAATACCCATAACACGAAGCATTGATAGCCGAAGAGGGGATTAAAATGAGTGCATCGTTGGTCTCAGTTCAAAGTATAATGTGTACCGGTTACGAGTTGCCGACGTAAATAAGGAATTTTTTTACCTTTAACGCACTATTTTTTTCATTTGCAGTGACCGCTGCAGGACAAAGATCGAAACATGCGGGCTATGTATCTTTGCATTATGATTGGTGTCATCTTTGGCTTCGACGGTGTCTTCCCTCTCACTGGTATGTTCAACTAGTCTACCCTACCAATTTAGTATTTGAACATTTTACGATAAAAATTTATTGAGTTACCCAAAAGTTAAGGGACGCTAAAAAATAATTTGAACGTTTTGAATGGCACTTTCAAGCGATTGAAATCACTTTTTTTGTGTGATAAAATAAAGACCCATTAAAAGGTTTAACGAATTCTGAGTTAGACTAGTCTTCTAAAATGCAAGCAGAACAACAGAACAATGGACAACTATGCCCCTAAGGAGAGGTGAAAAGCGTCGGATGTACACCGAGACGTGGCTTGTAGAGTATATGTTTTAGCATACAATATAAAAGCATAAAACATACTGGGGACTTCATATTTGTAGCCCCAGTACTTACATGTAATACATTCCTTGTTGATCGTATTCAGGTTGCTTTCATTTTAAAATGAGATGCAGAGTTTACGGTTTTTACAGTGTTTTTAGTCAAAACTAAATTAAATTTATGACAAAGTTTTCTCACTCATCCCCTGTCATACTTGGAACTTTACTATTGTTTTTGGTCATTTTTTGACTGAACACCGGGGATTCGATATAGTAGTAGCCTGCGAATACAGCCGTTTCTCGTTGCTCCTCGCCACTAACGACGTATCGCCAGGAGGAAACGTCCCTGACGGGGAGGAGCTAATGGAAACGGCTGTATTCGCAGTCTAATATAGTATCAGACTAGGTTTACATAAAGCAGAGCCATTGTTTCAAGGTTTGCTCTAATTCCGATGTGCTTTTAAGGTTTTAAAGTAATAACGGAAAATCGTGACTTAGCTCCTTCAACTTTTCTCTATTACAGATTACGCTCTTGAATTTCCAACCGCTGGGGTCAACAACTATGTAAACATCTGGGGGATGCCCAGTTTGACACAGTGGACGGTTTGCTTTTGGATGAAATCAAGTGACAGTACCACCCGTGGAACAGCCTTTAGTTACGCTGTTTCTGGAATGGACAACGAAATTCTTATCTTTAACTATAAAAATTTTCACATCCACGTTCATGGAACTGTCCGGTGAGTTTAACACTTTGTCTGTTGATACGATGTGATGATCTTGTAAAATTTTTCAAAAGAATGAATTAGTTTTTAAAAAAAGCTCCGGGTGTGACAGCTTAAACCATAAAGGAAGGGATCACAATGGATAGAAGCTTTCTGCGCGACGAGTCCTGGGATCTTTTTGATAGGACAAGCGTTATGATTGGTTTATGTTTGCCTTGAATACCATCGACCAATCATAACTAACGCTCGTCCACCCAACAATCCCAGAAATCACTGCGCCCAAAGCCTGTACCCATTCTCTCATATGTTTTTTTCAGCGCGCGAATCTTTTCACTTGCGTTACAGCGGCCATGTTTAATTTTAAAAAGTCGAGGAATTAAGCCCCACCTCAATTGTGCCATTCTACTCTACTCAATCTTTGTCAGTGAAAAAGTGAAAAATCCAAAATGAACATACACAGGCAGCTTTCTGTAGCTTGCATTGCAGGCTAGTTTCATATATTTTCAATGCCGCTTTATTTATTAAATAATTGTGAAACAACTGTTCAATGAACAATATTAACAGTGGTCTTGAGTAATTAATAATAGTAATACTGTCTAATTATCTGTTAAACAATAGGCACGTCAAAGGAAGTGAAATCTCTTTGAGAAAGCAATCTCGTCCCCAGAGCGCTTTTCCCTGTTTGAGAAAGCTTTGCACAGTAGCACCCAAACAGTTGTATCTTGTACCAGAAAAAAATGAAAACCGCAGATCTCAGGGGGGTACTCGGGATTTCAAGCCAGACGGGGATGATCAAAGGATTGTGGTGGGTTTGAAATTTTCGTTTCCGGTTTTTTTTTGCTAGGAAAATGTGGCAAGTATTTTTTCGGGCGGCTTGATTTAACTGGGGATTTTTGGGGGGTATTCCAAACAATCTGAAGATTTGTGATGAAAAAGCCAAGATGTTCTTGGCTGTCTCGAGTGCTGTTAAAATGACTACCAGATGCGGAAAGATAACTTCAGATACTATGATAAATAAGCAAACAGAAACATTCAATTTCTAATGTTTTTATTTTTCGTGTTATATCCATTGATTTTTGGAATTTTAAAGGTTCGGAAATTCAGAAGTCTTTTACGCAGGCGATTTTAGGAGAGCTCGTATTTGGTTGGCTCCCCACAAGGCAGCACGACTGAAATACGAGCTGCTCCCTAAAAATGCCTGAGTGGGAAGCTAGAAATTCAGCATAGGATTTTTGGGGGTTAATTTTTGATATAGCGATTTGTTTGGATTTTGTTGGAAGCCCTAGGGATTTTTTTGGTTTTCATTTTTGGCCCCATTCGATCCCCGTCACTTGAACCCAGAGTATCCCCGCCTCCCCACCCAACCCGGGCTGCTGTAGCCATAGTCTCTGTAAAATATACAAATAAATAATGGAGCATATCCATCTGGACATTATTCTCCAAACGTCTATCATAAGCGTAATTATATTGTTTGTTTAGTTTCGCTTAGCATTTTTTCCGCGTTATAACAGTCAAATTTTCATTGCAGTGAAACTTCACAATCAGCAAATGATGGTAAATGGCACCATATCTGTCAATCATGGGAGAACAAAGACGGTTCGTGGAGATTCTATAAAGATGGAGTCGTTGCATCTCAGGGAACTGGTTTAAAGACTGGTCATGTTATCAAATCAGGAGGATCTATAACCCTTGGTCAAGAGCAAGATTTTCTAAGAGGTGGCTTTGTAGGAACACAGAGCTTTGTGGGAATGATGACAAACGTCAACGTCTGGGATCACGTGCTGTCTATTGCACAAATTGAGCAGATGTCAAAATCGTGCCTGTCAGGGGAGGGGAACGTCTACAAGTGGTCTGATTTTATTTATGGCCGCGAAGGGAAAGTCAGAGTTTTTATTCCGTCTCCTTGTAAACCGCTTAGTGCTTAGCTTAACCTTAACAAACGTATGTTAAAGTCAGGGCCAGTATATCCACCGCTCAACATAATGATACATAGTGCACTGGAACTAACTTGCGGTCAGCCTTAGGTGACCTAAGGTGTAACCCTTCTGCTAGTTTTAGATAGTAAACACGAAATAATTATCATTTTGAAATGTTTTTTGATGGGAGCCTGCGCAAGAAATAAACCTTGTTTGACCATTTCGTCGAGTCATTGTCGTGACTGTCAATTGCTAACGCAGAACGATGACCCCATTCTTTGTTAAATTTACGGGTCTTTCTTGTGTGTGTGACTGTTCCTTACACGAAGCAGCTTTACTTGGGTAACTGTAACCAAGAAAAGTTGGACTTTAATCTTCTCTGACTGTCGCTCAAATGCAACCAATTTTGGTACCGATTTTACCTCAGTAAAATTTGCCCGGAGAATTTTTTTTTGTTTTTCTTGTAAGTGACTGACAACAATTTCAAAATCTTTAAGCAAAACTGTAAATAGACTGAAGGGTCGTTTGGTTCCCCCTGGTAAACTTACAATTGTGGACATAAGTACCAGTACGGTAGGTGAAATTTGGAGAAAGGGAGGAGGTGTAGTGCGTGACCAGCTTACGTGACCAGCTTGGCATGTATTCAAGGGAAGGTTGGGTAGAGAAGTGCCGTAGAGGCCCTTTAAAGGTGATATTACACGAGGTGATTCGCAAGGACGATTTTTAGCGCAACACAGCGTTGCAACATGGTTGTGACATTGTTTCGAATAGTTACAACATTGTTCCAACATTGCAACGCTGTGTTGCGCTACTGAATAGTCACGAATCGTCCCGTGTAACATCACCTTAAACCTGACCCTGTGACAATTAAGAAAATGTCCTTGTTTCGAAAGTGGTGTATTTCATGACTCTGCGGTTTCATGTCGTTTCACAACACATTTTACGAATTTTCTGCTGACCTTGCATGTCCTTAGTTCAAGTGTTTTTACTTGATTTAAACCCTTTATAGTCTAACTCATGACTCAAACAAATTAGTCACGTCTTTTACCAACTAATGAAAGTCTTCTATGAATCTTCCGGCCTCTAACTGCCAAATCATATGTAAAGTAAGTTAACAAACTTTTCACCTGTGAAATAAAGACGGTAATGTGATTACCACTACTCTCTTCGCCATTCAGCACTGAATTCGTGAATAATGCGTAGTTTCAGTACAGTTGTCAGAGTCATAAAATCGACCAAAAACGCGCTTATTATAATAAACTGCAGTTATCTAAAACCCTGCATTAAATTAAAGCTTATTGAGCTGGCTTACTAAGCCAATCGATTTTTTTATGATTTTTTAATGCAGGCGTCCGAATTAGCATTTGTGTTAGGTATCTGCATTTTGATTGGAACTTGCGACATCAATTGAACGTGACACACCCCTGAACGGGTATCTGGTAACATTTAGCCCCGTCCCAGTATGCTGACATTAAAACCGTAAAAAATTGACGGTGCAAGTTTTGAAAGCATTTTTAGTTTGTTAAGATAGCCAGTTTAATAAGCTTTTATGTGATATAGGGTTGAAGGTATTTGCAGTTCAACCGGAACGTGCCACATTACTTGCACGTGAGAGACCACCTTAAGAAGATTTGGTGTAAGTTTGGTCTAAAAGTTCGCAGGGTCAATTGAAACGTTCTCAGAAAAGTGTCCTCCGCACTGTGCAGCTGGAAACGTAGAAATGTCACTAAGACCCTCAACATATATTTTTGTATAGGTTCTTCGCTTGTAGACGGACTGTGACACGGACTATGTAGCGCGGTGCGTTTAACCATAAAAAGTTAACTCGAACGTGCTTCAGCACTTGCGACATACCCCTGAAGTGCTGAAGGTATCCGGTAACCTAATCTATTCCGCTTTCTAGAGATAAAAGAACACTTTGTACAGGAAAAGAAACATTCTACTACGAAGCTGTCTGCAAGTCACGCAAGGAAAAGTCGTTTTAAGGTAAATTGTTTTAAACTTAATTTCAGAAAATAGTCAGGAGCCCACTCAGGAGCCAATTAGAATAAAGGGCTCCTGAAATAGTGCTATCAGTATATCTTGTATGCCCACATTTTACAGCTGTTAGCTTCGTAAAGCCTGTGCTTTGGGGCGATAAGGGAAATCTTGATCGTGCTGGGACATTTTAGAGGTAATCACAGTTGAAAATAGTAGTAAACAGGTAAAATTCCCAACGTCAGTTTCCACTTCCATGCATTCGAGTCCCCACTTTTGGTATATCAAAATATTATTGTTATCGCACTTCAACTAGCCTGTAGAACAGGCATTATTTTTTCGCGTTTTTCAGGAGAGAGAGGACAAGCGCGAAGCAAGCGAGGAGCGTGAGATACGCGTAAAGGGGGGACACGTTATTTTTTCCGCGCCTTTCCCCGTCGCGCGTATTTCTGCCTCCACGCGCGCTTCGTGCCTCGTTTGCTCAAAAAACGACAGAAAATATCGCCCGTTACGCAAACTACGCTAAAACTCTTACTGTTTTCAGCACCACGCCTGCTGGACAAGAATGCACGTAACATATCTTTGTATCACCATCTGTATGATCTACGGCTGCTGGGTCAGTGTCTCCGCGCTCACTGGTACGTTAATCTGTATACCATTATTAGTTATTTACAGTAATTGTAAGTGTTATTTTGCAGTCAATAGAGAGATTTAAAGTTAGTTTGTGCCAAACCGCAACTGAATTTGTACCCGACACATTACCAAGTTTACCCTTTACTTGTCGAGAATTGTTTTCAGCTGTTTGTATCTGCCCATTTTCTTTTTTGAGAATTTTTCAACTTCAATCTGCCGTTTGCCGTAAAAGTGACTCTAAACCTCTCTAATATGTACGAATCTTGCACACACTATCCCTTGTCCCGTTAGTTTAGAACGCGTCCTAATCTGGTGTTCCTGTGGCACTAAGGCAGGGGCATCTCGGCCGGACTCCTTTCGACTCGATTTCGTTTCCGTAAGTGGCGAACGCGGATCCGTAATCAATGATTAACCCTAGTTTAAATTATATTTGCCCACCTGCAAACGACATGTTACAGAGACTACAATTCGACTAAAGCAGACTATTCTGCTTCATCAACTCAGTCAGTCTTTTATTGAGTGAGATTAAACTTAAATCTTTTGACTAGAGGTAGGTAAGCACTTTCTTATGACGAAACGAAGAATGTAACTCTATACTAAACTGAATATGTTTAGTCTTCAGCGCTTTATAATTATAGTTAAAGTAAAAGTTAAAGAAAAAATTCTTGACGAATGAAAAATTAGTATTAGTATTGCATTTTTATCTTATTTTCTGACGCGTGTACTGAAAGTTCTTCATTTTTTAGATGGGGAACTTAACCAACGACGACGACGACGGCAGTGAAAACATCGGTTAAAAAATTAATTTGCGTCCTTTTAAACTTTATCGCGTCTACTTGGAACCGCTCTTTTTGTCAAATATAGGAGACATTTCCTGGAGTTGAATTCTTAAGGAATTTATCCATGTTCAAATAGAAAAAGGGAAATTTGTTGCCGTATGTCCACGTCCTCCATAAAACGTCGCATTGGGAGGTTTCACATCGTAGTCGTGCTGTGGATGTCAAAGAAATGTACTAAAAAGCGTGATGCACCTGCAGAGCTGTTGTTTTGCTCATAAAACCAATTGTTTTTTGACGTTGTCAGGTCAGCCTGATCTTGAGTAGACCTAGATAAGTAAAACCTTCGATACCAAGGGGGATAATTATCCTCCCTTGCCAATACCAAGTAAAGAAACTGGACGGATCCTTACGACTACAAGAATAGGAAGTAAAAAAAAAATAAAGAAAAACAGAAAGGGAAGGAAAAAGAAAAAAGGAGCGGTAGCCGATTTTAATACAAGAAGGCTCTTGAGTTTCCAGAGATGCAGTGCTATTGCTTTGTAAAGTTTGCTAATTATTCAGAAACAGTTTTGTAGGATATATGTTAATTTGGGAGAGGGTGGGAATGTAGCCTTGTTTATATAGAGTGTTTTTACATGACGTCACGGCGGCCATATTGGTGTTCCAAAGCAATGAAATTGCGGTCGTGTTAGTATTCCAAGCCAATTTTGAGGGAGTTGATCTCTTGTCTTCTGTAAACGCTTTCTTTTGTTCCGATACATTAGCATAGATGTTGCCCACGTGAGCGAAAACGCTCTATATATCCTCTCCTTGCTAATCACTTTCGGCTTGCCTGTAAGAGATTTCTCTTTATTACAGATTACGCTCTCGAATTTCCAACCTCTGTAGTTGATAACTATGTCAACATCTGGGGCATGCCAAGTTTGACCGAGTTGACGGTATGTTCATGGATGAAATCAAGTGATCGCAAAAACGATGGCACGGTGTTTAGCTACGCTGTTCCTGGAATGGACAACGAATTTATCATCTACAACTATAAAAATTTTCAAATCTTTGTCAATGGAGCTAACCGGTGAGAAGAACATTTTTCCAGTTTTCAGATGACATGTCCTTTTTTGTAATTTATTAGTTTTAAAGTGCCAGGAGCCCATGACATAAATATTCTTCAAGCGAAAGTGCTATTGCTACGAGAGCTTGTGCGAAAAAAAGTTGCGATTTGAACTCAACGGGGAAATTCTTTCGTATGCCTCTCAAAAGCCTCTGGGAAACAAAGGAGCTATGACGTAGATTAGGGATCATGACGGGAATAAAGCGACACACGGCTTTACAACAACAAGTGTGGAGTTCTAGAAATACTTCTTCCAATTCACTAAAACAGCTGTTAAAAAGTGAAACGTGCCAATAAGATACGTTGCAGTTAGATGTAACAACATTGGCGACCCCAAGAAAGAGATAAGCAAAGATCGTGCATTAAATCTTGTTTTTGAGTTCCTCAAATTGTCTCATGACGTCACTTAAGAGTCTTTCACTTCCGTTAGCTGCGGAACAGTTATGCAGAAGAAATTGTTCATAACGCAAAATGTTTTCGAATAAGCTATTGTGGCAATGTGCTCTTTCGGTTAACATAACATACATTGTTACGTTATGAGCTCTTCAAAAACGTCCAGGCTGTGACAGCTATTAGTGCAGCTGATTGTTACTGGTCGCAACTTATTACCTTAAGCTCCACCATGGTCAGTACTTAAACAAGATCGTGCTCAGTTTTAATGACACTCATTTATTTCTCTAAAGTTATTTTGTTATATTTATCAGCTGCCTCAGTATAATCAGTGACGCAGCTTAAGCTTGATAACGCGGTGGTCCTGATGTCATTGTAATGGAGTTGAATTTGTTGTTTCTACTCGGTCTCTACCAGACGGGTTTCTCCAAGTGAACCTGTTTTGATAGGCTCATCGGGCGAGAGAGACTGAGAGAGTTTGTTGAGAGAGACTATTAGTTACACTGCTTGAGATTGGTGCTTGATGAACTTTACATACCGTAAATGATCTAATAGACGCCCAAGGCATCTATTTTTTTTTTAATTTTGGGACCCCAAGCGGAGGCGTTTAAGAGAGAGAGCCCTTTAATCTCATAACTCTAATAAACTCACAAAACTAATACCACAGTATATAAATAGCAGACTATAGTCCATCCATCGATATATCTAAATCAATGTGTTTTTTAAACCTCGACTTTCGAATTCAGAATCCCTTACCTTGAACGTGTCGTTCAGAACAAGATGCAATGCACAAACATTCTTGGTGGTTTCTTGTTCTTTCTTTTCACGTGTTTAAATGTATTGACATTTTCATTACAGTGTAACCTCTCAATCAGCAAATGACGGTAAATGGCACCATATCTGTCAGTCATGGGAGAACAAAGGAGGTTCGTGGAAGTTATACAAAGATGGGGTCGTTGCATCTCAGGGAACTAGTTTAAAAAGTGGTCATGTTATAAAGGCAGGAGGATCCATAACGCTTGGTCAAGAGCAAGATTCTCTTGGAGGTGGCTTCTCAGCAGCACAGAGCTTTGTGGGAATGATGACAAACGTCAACGTCTGGGATCACGTGCTGTCCATTGCACAAATTGAGCAGATGTCAAAATCGTGCCTGTCAGGGGAGGGGAACGTCTACAAGTGGTCGGATTTTATTCATGGTCGCGAAGGGAAAGTCAGAGTTGTTATTCCGTCTCCTTGTAAACCGCTTAGTGCTTAGGTAGACTTTGTAAAACACATGTTAATGTAGCCATCATATCTATTGCCAGTCAATATAATGATAGGTAGTGCACTGGAACTAGCTTACGGTTGAGGCTTACGCAGAGGACTCTCTCAGAAAGTCCTCTACTACAACCTATTTGCAATTTATACGACGACAAAATTTCTCACATCGAGGTGCTGAACTTGCTGCTACATGCTATATTTTTATGTTGAATCTTCACGAAGTCAAATGAATGATTTCTGGTTACCATCTGATAGAAAGTACGCGAGGAATCGTATAGTTATGAGCAAGTCATTTTCAAGTGGTTTTTGAATGAAGCCTGTTTGAGCATGTAATGTTGTAATTGAGTCATGTTTATTGAAGGAACACCGCGCACGCGCAAAGGTTCGTGTTTGATCTTGTATTGGAAATTGATGGTCGTTTACCATTTTCAAAAAGTTTCCGGAAACGTCCCGTTGAAAAGTATATTGGACACGACTTCAGTCTGGGTTCGAGTCTGGGTTATTCCAGCGGAAAATTTCCAGGAGCAACGGACTTCTTGAAAAGGTAGTCGTGTTTCCTTTACGGAAAGTTCCGAACGGAAATACGTGTTCCATTTCTTTAAAGCCATCTTTGATACTAGTTTCATATGCCTTTGCGGTCGTTTTTTCGGCAAATGGAACCGATTTGTACAAATGGTAGATTCTGGGATTCTGTGACGAAATTTACCAGTCCTAAATTTTGCTTACCATTCACCCAAACCGTGGACCGACCGGCCGCTCTATGTAAATGGTAAACAACCGATGGCTCTTTCTTGAGTGAGACTTTTAGTGTTGGACCAATCAATCATCAATCAATTCTTTATTTTAACACGTTACGTCAAAGAGCTAAAAAAACTCGTTCAAAATACGAACGTGTATAAATAAAATCTATGATGATTACAGCTATATAACATTATTCAATTTTAAAAGCAACTCAATAAATATATACATATAAAAAACTTAGTAATAAAAACATAAAATATAAAAAGCTAAAACCGACCAAAAAGCCACATACTAAAAACGTGACAAGGAAAACTATAATACTCGTTCTAAAAACAGTTAAAAGCTACAATCGTGCACTATAAGACACGTTCTAAAAAGCTGCAATCGTGCAATTTACTTCTGAAGTCATTAGCATCACTTGAAAGACGCACTTGAGAAGGCAAACTGTTCCATAACTTAGTTAATGAATAAGTGAAAGAATGTTTCTTAAATTTAAGATTAAAGTTGGGTAATTCCAAATTTAAGCCCTCGCCTATTAACCTATACGGTGTATACCTGTATTTAAAAAGGCTTCCAATATATATAAGTAGGTCCCGTACCATTTAAGCATTTAAAAAGAAGTATTAACGCCTGGTGTAAGCGCCTACAATATAAGGATGTCATGCTAGCCGTAGTGAGCAGCTCGTCGTATGACATTGACTTGTTGTGTCCGATTAATGTTCTCAAAATATAACAGTTGCCATCTTCAAGACGGTTGCGTTGACCCGTACCTATGCCTAAAAACAAAGGACTGCAGTATTCGAGATGAGGTAATATAAATGCTTTATAAAGTTTTATCATTGCGTTATGAGGAAGAAAACGCCCTATTCTTCTCAGTGAAGAGGCCTTCGCGTAGGCTTTCTTTAGTTGATCTGATATGTGTTTTTATAGGATAGGTCCTTGTCTAGAGTAACTCCAAGAATCTTAATAGATTGGAGAAATTCTATCCTAGCATTTTTAAGAAATAAAGAATAATGCTAGGCACAGGGTCCGACAAATAATGCTCGAGTCTTTTAGCACTGTTCACTGTAAAATGGTTAGACTGAAACCACGACGAAAGAGTCTGACTATCTTTGTTGAAGGAAAATTCTAGAATGGTGGGAGATACATCTGACAGGTAGGCAGTCGTGTCATCAGCGTACAGCCGCAATGAGACATTAGGAACACAGAAATTCAAGTCATTAATGAATATATGAACAGCAACGGCCCCAATAGTGAACCTTGAGGAACGCCAGATTTAACTGTTTTGAAGTTAGAGCATACGCCTTCTAATCTGACACATTGTTGACGACCTAGCAGGGTGGAAATCAGTTCCAAAGCATGTGGAGAAACGCCATAGGCCTTCAACTTCGCGAGCAGAAGGCTGTGGTTTATGGCGTCAAACGCTTTGCTCAAGTCCACAGCGACCGCCGCTACAGCTTCCTTGTTATCAATACCGTTCCTCCAATCTTCCGTCATTTTTAGCAATGCAGTGCAGCACGATTTAGTTTTCATAAATCCAGATAAGTTTGAGGACAAAACGTTATGAAATTCATTCCAAGTTTGGTGGTAAATAACTTTCTCAAACACCTTCGATAGCGAAGTTAATATTGAGACAGGGCAGGAGTTTGCTTTGTCTGTGTCAATCCTCCGTTTAAAGACAGGAGTAAGGCACGCTTGCTTCCATTCAGACGGCAATGAGCGATTCAGAATACAGAAGTTGGTCAACTTAGTCACCTTTTCGGCAATAACTGGGGATCCCGAACGCAAGATTCACAGTGAAATGCCGTCTACCCCGACGGCCTTTCTCGGATTAAGGTGGTCTAAAATATTACGGATATATGAAGTACTGACTGGGGAATAATTAAACTCGCTTGAGAAACGTAGATTGCTTATTGCCTTGATACAAGGATGGTCAGTGTAGTCAGTGTCACATCTATGCTCTAACTGAATAGTATTGGCAAAGTAATCACTAAAGACTTTGGCCACACACCCAGGGTCGTAAACAACACTACTGCCCTCAACGAGGATGACGCATTATATGTTTTTACCAGAACTAGTTGGCAAAAGGGGCTTCATTTTTCTCCAAAATTCGCCCGGATGTTTAGCAGTCAAGGAAGCGTCACAGAAGAACCTTTTCAAAGCGTTGCGCTTTAGCGACGTAACCATGTTACGTTGCCGCTTATAATCATCTCAAGAAGTAGATGTAGGACTCCGCTTGTGGCGCTTGAATAATTTTTTTCGGTGCGAAATTTCACGCAGCAAATCAGGTGATATCCATGGCAACTGGTCGCCCCGAATCCACTTTTTCTTTAGGGGCACGTGGTGGTCAAGAACATCTTTGAAAAGTGTTCCCCAATGAGCCCATACATCATCGGCATTGCCGAATGTGTGGGCTGAAGATCATGGGACGCTTTTTAAGTCAGCCAAAAAGTCAGGCAAGTTAAAATTCTTCATACTCCTAAACTCAATCAAGCGTGGCTTTCGCCTTGAATTCTTATTTTTTCGCACTGTAAAAATTAAGTCGTGATCGACCATTTATTTTTCAGGACGGGGAAGATTAGAAATATGGAAAAAAAAAATGTTTGCAGAGTCTAAAGAGACAAAATTAATTGTTTGCAAACACGATATGCGTAAAAAATGTACATATAGTCGGAGAAGCTATTAAAACGTTTAGTTTCAAAACTGAAATAAAAACAGAAAGTAACAAATTGAAACAAGGTCACAAATATATCGAGCTGGGTACTTCACAGTGGTCATTTCATGAAATTAAAACAGATAATAAATTAGAAAATAGCTGATTTTTTCATAAGTAAACGGGAGTTTATTGTAGGTATTAATAAATCTCAACATTATTTGATAACATTTTGCCCTTTTTTTCTCAAAATGTATTATGGTGGCTCAACTGCCAGATTTTTAGGGAGTATACTTTCCTACTTTTAGCGTTTACTACGTGGGCATAGAGAACGATGTCAGAAAAGGTTACCACAGCTGCATGTGCTATAAACATGAAATGGAAGCTCCTTAAAGCCGGCTGTACAAACTCAGGAAGGAAATGGGTGACCATTTCAGAGACAATGTACAACCTACAATAAAAATTTTTGAAACGGCTATTACCCCTTGGCTCAAGGTGCAAAACGATATCTTATTGGCTATGGATCGTCAGCACGTCACCCTCCTCGTACTTCTCGATTTGAGTGCGGCATTCGATACTGTCGATCACCGAGTGTTGTTACGTCGTCTTGAGGTCACTTATGGCATTACGGGAACTGCTCTTCAATGGTTTCGATCATATTTGACTGGCAGGACCCAACGAGTGTACATAAACCAGACATAACCTCAGGGTTCTTGTCTTGGCCCTTTATTATTCACGATGTATGCAAGTAAACTCTTTGAGGTTGTTAAGAACCATCTCCCAAATATTCATGCTTACGCTGATGACACCCAGATATATTTATCTTTCAAGCCGGACTCTACTGCGGGGGAACAAGATGCTATCACTGCTCTTCAAGATTGCATTACAGATATTAGAAGTTGGATGATCGCAGATAGGTTAAAACTAAACGATGACAAAACGGAATTTATGATTATTGGCACACGTGCTCAATTAGATAAAGTTAATGTATCTGAAATTGTGGTTGGCCAAGCAAAAGTGCCAGCTTTAACGATTGTTAGGAACCTCGGGACGTGGCTTGATACGAACCTCACCATGTCTGCACACATAAATGAAACGTGCCAAGCTGCTATTTATCATCTGTATAACATTAAACGCATTAGCAGGTATTTGAGTTATGATGACAGGAAGTCTATAGTTCAAGCAGTTATAATGTCACGTATAGATTATCGTAATAGCCTCTTGGTTGGCGTTCGATCCAACCAGCTAAACAAATTACAGCGTTGACAAAATGCAGCGGCTCGCCTCGTTAGTAACGTCGCAAAGTATGATCACATTACTCCCACACTCATAAGTGTATCTAGGACAACGCACCCGAATACCTTAAGGATCTAATAAAAGCTAAGAGTACCACCAGATATAATCTTAGATCGGACGGGGAGATGTTACTCGAGGATTATAGTGCACGATCAAAGAAGACACTAGGAGACAGGACTTTCAAAGTAGCCGCCCCTAGAATCTGGAACATTTTACCGAAGGACATTAGGAAACAGGACAACTATTATGCTTTTAAGGAACAGCTGAAGACTTATTATTTTAAACTTGCATACAATTTTTAATTGTACATAGGTGTATATTAATTTTACTCTTTTTTTATCAATTTTAATGAAACATATAACATTTCTTTTAGTTACAATTATTGTAAGTAATAGGTTAAGTACTAAATAATTAAGTTAGGTGTCATTTACGGATATATTCATGTTTAATTCGATAATTAATATATTTTTAGTTAGCTTTAATAGTTTGCAATGCGCATTTGATAATTTGATATACGTTAATTTGCGCAATACCAAATAATAAATATTATTATTATTATTATTACCCCGATAATACTCTGTTCTGTTCTGGAAATTCATAGGTGACTGCTTAATAGAGGGCTGCTTAATGGAGGTTTGAGTTTATTTTTTAGAAAAAGTCGTTAGGTTTGGTGATCATAGCTTAAAATTTTATTTTCACCAATTTAGCGAGGGGGGCTCAAGAAGCCCCCAGGTCTAATAGGGTTAAAGAAACGATTGACAAGTCCTGTTTGATCCTTCATGACGGGGTGGCCACATAAACGAGATATTCTTAATGTGAAAAAGTCTTGCGAAGCGAAGACCACCAGCGAAAGCCACCCACTCCGGGAAGTCGTGGGTAGGGGCTATGGGTGAGGGTACTTGAAGTCGTGTGTGCCGGTGTGGTTAGTGTGTTGCCCGATGGTTTACAACCTGTACTATAAAGCATTGTTTGTTTCCTCTAGGACATACCGATGAGGGCTTGGCTATTACAATGAACGAAGAAAAATTTAAAATTGTTATCATTGTCTCGAGATGTCACCAAATTGAAAAAAAAACTCTTCGAACTCTTCGACGTGATTAATTCACAGATATCGTTTGTACCCCACAAGGTAGCAAACGTTCCCCGGGAGGTACTGCCATACATGGGCTATATAGGTATGTGCCGCTGTGAAGGGTATGGTTTTTAAGCAGTTTACTTGGGGATTGTTGTTGTCGGTGATGATACTTATTATTGAGTTTACTTGTCCTCCTCCTTCAAGTTTTTTTTTTACAAGTGCTATTAACAACTGCGTCAGCTTATTTTATTACGATTTATTACGAAGTGCGATGGTCTGTTATCACAAAGTGCGACAAATGTTATTTCAAAGTGCGACAAGCATTACAAAGTAAGACAATTTTATTACAAAGTGCGACAGAACGCACGTACGGAAGCCAGGTCTGGGGGTTTGATTATGACGGAAAGTTCAAAAAGGATCCAACTGAGATTGTTCAAACAAATTTCATTGGTTATTGGGAGTTAACAGATTTTGAAGCACAAATGCGTGCAGATCGGAAGTAGGCCGATTCCCAATGCGAACGAAGAAAAAAGTGTAGAACATTGATAAAATTCTTTGAGCCGGAGCACTAAAATAAACTCTCTGGAATAGCATTTGCGGATCCAATTGGCCAAGACAAAAAGGACTTTGGCCAAGCAAATTAAAACGGCTATTAAATCTCTCAGGTCTTGGCGACATATGGTCAGCGAAAACGAACACTCCCTCAACCATGAACTACATACGACAGAACAACAAACATGGATTAGCGAAATACGCAATGATTACCGAAAGGACCCGAATCAAAAAAACAAACCAAGAACTTTCAGAAAATTTAAACTTACCCATGACTACGAAAATTACCTCATAAGGCGTAAGAAACATCAATCATAGAGTAGCAATCGCAAAGGTAAGATTAAGCAACCATAAACTAGCAACTGAAACTGGGCGATACGCTAAACCCTATCAACCACCAGAGCAAAGAATCTGTCCATTATGTAAAACTAAAAAAGAAGAGGAGGAGCATTTTTTGATGAATTGCATAGTTTATAGGGATCCTAGGAGGGAGCTGTTCAACAAGCTCAATAAGGAAACTAATCTTTTTCTTGACTCAATGAGCAGACTCCAAGCCGCACTGCTTTTGCAAAGTTGATAAGTATGAAGCAAGGAGATTCTACTTGTAAAAGCTCAAAGAGCTTGCTTAAGGTGTCCCTGCATAGTTAAGATGGTGTTGAAGAAATGTTAATGTTAAATATGATGAAGGCGAATAAAGGTTGTTGAGTGTTCAAATATAACCTTGTCTAAAGGTATAAATTTTACAAAGGTACACCTCTGTAGTCTCTGTAGTCAAAGGAAAACTTTCACTGTAATTCTACGTCCATTGTCTGACTACCATTTAATATTGCACTGTAATCTTTGTTATCCCTCTAAACACATGTGCCTTTAGGCGTTCTGTTGATAGTAAAGCAAGCGTCTATCTATCTATCTATCCATCTAGCGAGATGTAGATCTGAATAATCGTTAGGTTACTTTTCTGTGGTAGCCGCTAATGAAACAAAACAACGTTTATTTTGGCTCAAATACTCAATTAAAATCTAAATCTACAAAATTGCTGATGTGGTTTTGACTTCATTTCTTATTTTGCCCTTTCAAAGTTAAAACCTCCCAGTGAAAACTGGTACTAGTCAATTTAAACGAGACAACTCAGTTACGTATAGGTAGGCGTAAAGTTTACAGAGGGAAACTTGGTCATTATATAGAGATGATCAATGAACCAAAAACAAGAGAAGGAAAAAAGAGGAGGAAAGTAGGGCATTCTACATCAATGCTATTAATTATTCTTTGATGATTATTCATTGATGCTTTTGATAACTCATCCATACACAGTAATTTTCAAGGAGTTATAATAACTCCTCTAGTGGGGCTAATTTAACTCCTTACAGTGGAGTTATTTTTGGGGGAGTTATTTTAACTCCATAAAGGAGTTTAAGGAACTCTTTTTCAGGAGTAACAGTGACCCCAGATAAAAATTTTTACCCCACTTTCAGAGTTAAATTAACTCCAAAAAGAATAAAAACAACCCATGTAAGGAGTAAAAGTAACCCAATTTCGGAGTTATTTTAACTCCACACTGGGAGTGAAAAGAACTCTTTTTCAGGAGTAAAAATGACCCCCAAATTCGGAGTTAAATTAGGAGTTAAAGTAACCCCAAAAGGAGTTATCTTGTGCCTAACATTTTTACTCCATTTTTGGAGTTATAATAACTCCCTAAAAATTACGGTGCAACCTATTGATTGCTCCACTTCATTTTACTTTATTTTACCCAGTTTGAAAATAAAGCAGGGTCAGGCAGCGTTAATTCCTTGAATAAGTTGATGTGTAAAGTTTTTTGCCAGCCTACCGGACACAGATTCAACCACTCTTTCATTGGGCTAACCCTCAGCCGTCAAACGGCCTAAAATTTAAAAGATGGCCGCCAAAAAATGTCATTTTTTACCGTCAGCCGTCAAAAATGCAAATTGATGTTAGCCGTCAAAAACTTTCAAGGTATTTCAAATCTCACTATATTTCAATTGATCTTGACGGACCTTTAGCTCGTGAAGAATTTCCAAACTTGAAAAAGTCAGTTCCCCTGTTCTCAAAAACACCCTCTCTAGATATAACAAATATCCATTACAACTTGCTTACCGTAAATCCTCTATTAACCCCCCTTCCCTCCATCCTTATTCTTCACAGACAATTAACGTGGACTGATCAGTTTTGGTTTATTCAGGCTGGAAGTTCATATTGTCTTTGATCTTCGGCCACATGACCTCCAAGTCCTGCCACTTCATGTGCTTAACTTTTTCAACTTTAAGCTCTAGTTCTCCGGGGAAAATTGTTACCATTTTCTTACGGTTAGAAAAAGCAGTATAACGTCCGGGGATCTCAAGTCCGTCCTCGAGAAGCCTTGCTCCCGTCGGTGAAAATTCTAATCTGCAACCTCCACGAGATAAAAATTTACAGGGCAGGAATGATCATTCTATAGGCAAATGTCCAGCTAGTTCTCGAGAGCTGCTGGGAAACAAGCGGTAAGTGCCAACTGAAAATTCAACATACAGCTTCGCTTCTTCTCTTGTATCATGCTTGCAAATGAGTTTTACGCCGACGTCTGGCATCCACACCTTTTTAAAAATGTGATGACCACGAAAGTATATTTTTGAAGAAAAAGAGATTTTGTTTTTGTTAGTTTTACTGCTCCCACAAGTGAATTAAATACTGTTAATAGTGACTAGTACAACCCGTAAGTTTACTTTGTCTCTTACTACTGTATTTTTGCTGCTGGTGATGCGTTTCGCTAAATCAAATAAGTCCCCCTCTCTTTGAAGCCCCCACCCTCTCAATTAATCCCCCCTACCCCTTCAAAAGTGCTTGAAAAAAACAAGCCCCCCGGGGGGCTTCATAGGCTGAGGATTTACAGTATCTAAAAAAATACAAAATTTTATTTCTGAAAAGCTAAGACAACCTCCAAAACAAAACAGTTAGTATTAATTTGTACGAAAGTTTCTAAATTTCCACTAAATGTCAAACGCCAAAAGCTATAAAAATTAACCGCCAATCGTCAAAGCTGCCACCCTATTGAGAAACAGCCCGCGCTCCTCCGCCGAACAAAGCACAGGGTCCAGAGGAGATGTGTTATTTTGATCGCGTTGACGATCGCGTTACAGTTTCGTTACACATTCTGTATACCGCAAACCAAGAGACTGAGGGCTCGCAAGATCGGCTTACACTCGGCACTTCTTGCCTCGGTCGCCCTTCGAGCGACGTGCCGTGCGCCAGCGAGGCTATGGCTTACGATTATTGATTTTCAAAATGGCGAACAACAAAGTCGATCTGGGTCAGATAAGAAGCGAAGAAATCGTTTACAGTAGATTCATAAAGATCCCATTGGGCTAATTAATCGTGCTAAGCGACAAGTATAGACATTTTTCAAGGTGAGACTTTAATTAAGTAATTTATTTATTCACACGAAACTCCTCTGGACCCTGTGAACAAAGCGGCTGAAACTGACGCTAAGTTTTCCAGGTCTTGAGTCTGAGTGGAGTATACAGTTTTATTATTTAGTGTTGAACATGATGTTCTCTAGGAGCGAAAGACATATAGAGATCCAAAGGTTGGCGATGAGCTGTCTACATGCAT